TTGAAGTCTGTGCTTTTTAATAAACAAACTGCACTTTTTGTTTTTGTAATCTGTATGAAAGGAACGTGAGGTACAGTTTGACCTTTCAAATGCACATCAATTTGTAAACAGAGTCGATGTCATTTCTGGAGGAGATTCGCCATCAAGACCAAGTTGTGGATGACTTCAGAAGAGCAGCGTAATGAAAGACTCATGGATACTAGAGATTAATGTGCTATAACCTGAATCTTTAAACAGTCTGTGTGGAATTCTATTTACATTTCTTAGTGTATTATTATTACTATGTGTGTATGGATGTATATGTACATGAATGTGTAGGTGTGTGTACATCAAAATTATTAGCCCCCCTTTCATATTTTTTTTTCTTTTTTAAATAGTTCCCAATTTATGTTTAACAGCGAAAGGAAATTTTTACAGTATGTGTGATATCATTTTTCTTCTGGAGAAAGTCTTATTTGTTTTATTTTGACTAGAATAAAAGCAGGTTTTCATTTTTGAAACACCATTTGAAGTATTTAATTTTAGGCAGAATTATTAGCCCCTTTAAGCTGTTTATTTTTTTGATAGTCTACAGATCAAACCATCGTTATACAATAACTTGCCTAATTACTCTAACCCGCCTAGTTAACCTAATTAACCTAGTTAAGCCTTTACATGTCACTTTAAGCTGTATAGAAGTGTCTTAAAAAAGTATCTAGTCAAATATTATTTACTTTCATTATGGCAAAGATAAAAAAAAATCAGTTATTAGAAATGAGTTATTAAAAGTATTATGTTTAGAAATGTGTTGAAAAAATCTTCCCTCTTTTAAACAGAAATTGGGGAAAAAAATAAACAGGAGGGCTAATAATTTTGACTTCAGCTGTATATGAATGGGCTGTTATATATACATACATGTATGCATATGTGTATTATTTTCTATAATATTATAGCCTGTAAATATACCCTGTATTTTTTATGTTTGTGTTGAAGATATGTGTATCTTATGTTTATATGTATATACATATGTATTCTGTTAGTTTTTGGTTGCAATGCTATTTGTGAAATGGCATGGACTTTGGCACTGCCTTTGGTGGGGTGGCTGTTGTTCTAGGGGCACTGGAGGGCTTGAGGAGTGAATTTTGTTTTGTTTATTGGAAAGAAAATTGTAAAGATGCAGTGACCACTCATGTGTAAAATCGATAAAAATGTAATCTTAAGAAGAGCAGCGCGATCTGACGATCATTATTCAAAGATGATAGTATGTGGAACGGCCAAAAATGAGGTTGGTGTCGTGATCTCATTTCTTTCGAGTCCATATGCGACCTTTAAAAATGCTGATTTTGTTTGATTCGAACGTTTAGAAATGAAACTTATGAGACAGTTGTTGCTTAACGTTATTGGTGGTTGCAAATATGTAATTATTCGTAAGCTTAACAAACAATTTTGGAGAATTTGATGTTTCGTCTTCAATCAAAGTCAGACTACTTGCTTCTATGTTTGTAGTGGCGGTCCTTCTCTGTTGACTTCGGTTTGATAGCTTCAGCCACAATATTCTTAACCACACCCCTCTTACCGTTAGTTTGCTATGAGTAAATGATATTCTGTTTTAGCCAGAGGTACATCAACAAACTAATATATAAGTCTCAGCAACTTTTGGTCCACCCAGACTTTAAAGCCTTGTCCATTATCCTCTCTCCAGCTTCTTTTTTGAGCACATGCAATTAACTGAGTGATTTACTGCTAATTGCACAAGACAGAGGCCAAAATATCTCATCCAAAAACCAAATATGCACTCAGAAGCCACAATGCGAGTCTCTTGTCTGTGAAACAAGAAGGATCCCAACCAAATCGTCACAAGGGATGAGGATTACACAGTGCAAATCATTGTACTTCGCTTTATGAAAGGAGATTGAAAGAGCACCCTGTGCCGGAGCGTTCTGGGATCATTTTGGAGATTAAATGAAAGTGATCAGGTGCTCACTGCTAGAGTTTATGACTTACATGAGAGTTGTCTAGAGTTCAGAAGAACACCTCCATTTAGAGACAGTCATAGTGATTACATTTAACCACATTTAAATTTGAAGAGACAGTTCACCCAAATATTTAGATTTACATTAACTCATAGTTAACTCACACAAATCCTTCTGTTTTTCTTTTGATCACTGTTCATTCAGTGGTTGAGTGATGCAAATTGCATTTATTACTTAATGCAAAGTTAATTCGACTCATTAATAAAACTTAATAAAACGAAGATAAAAATAAGAAGATATTTTGAAGAATGCTGGAAACGGTCTTGACATCCATAGTAGGAAAAACTATGGAAATCCATGGCCACCAGTTTCCAGTATTCTTCAAACTATAATAATGCATGTGCACTGGAAAAAATACAGAATTTCCCTTATTGATACAGGTGAACTATCCCTTTAAATCAGAAATGCCCAAACTAGGGTGCGGCGGGCCAAAGTTGGCCCTTTTAAAAGGTTTGATTTGGCCTGCCATCCCATCTGAGAAGAGAGGGAGAATTTTGGGGAGGTTTAAGGTTGATGGTTTTAATACACATTTCTAATTTAACGTAACCTTTCATTTGTTACTTTTATTTTTAGGCTACAAAAAAAACTTTAATTAAATGTTTTAATTAAATGTTGTAAATTAAGGCAGATACAGCTGGACTAGTGTATTCGGTATGGAGTTCTTATGTTTTCATTTTAATAGGTTCACTTTAAAATGTAAAAAATATATAATGGATGAGTTAAGTAGTGGAAATAAACGAGGAAATTATTCATAAAAACTTTGTATTACAGTTTGATATATTTACCTTTGGCCAACGACCCTCAATCAAGTTTTTTGGCCCTTCATAAGAAAATATTTGGGCACCCCAAACATTGTTCCATTATGCAAAATAAGACTTGTGTGGTGGCAGAAATTAAATTAGGCTGTTAGGCATTGTTATTATACAATAGTAACTGATTAAATTCTAGTTAAAAATTATTTTACCTCAATGAACCAACCTATATGATCAGAGATGAAACAGGGAGCAAAAATAGCAATTCTACATGCAGTAATCCCAACTAGTCAACATCCTCTGGGGGCAAAGATCTCAAAAAGCAAACACAAAGCCCGCTTATGTTTGTCAAATATGTGACATGACACTGACTAAATATGTCATCTCGCAAAGCTATTAACACATTTTAAATGTCCTACTGAAAAACTATGTAACAAGCTTTAATATGTATTGTATTGTTTATCCAAAACACTATTCTGATTACATTGTCCTGATAATTTATGGGTAGGCACACATGGAACTGCACAGGCAGAAATCTGCAGATTTCCGCAGATTTTTAGCCCATCATTTGAGTCTTGTAAATGTGTGTAAATTTATATTTATTCAGTTTTTAAATTGATTTCATTTTATTTCAAGCTGAAAAGAAAATGAATGAATGAATATCATTGACTAATATAAAAGTGTTCATTTGATTTATTTACAGTAAATTTTGTAAAGTAACATTTTCTGTCCTTGAGAGATGTGCTTTGTCCTAGATGGATCTAGATGGATTTGCATTGTAGACATTAAACAAAAATTAAAAAGCAATTAGTTTTATTTCATATAGTACGTTTTTAGTAAATCCGCAGATTTTTTGTTACAAAATTCTCGGCAGAAATAGCAAAGAAATTCCAAATATTCTGTCTGGGCCTATTTATGGGTAAAGAAAATTATGAATGTCATTCACAAGATCATTTCTTAAACCTGTAGATTTATCATTTTACTATGACTTTACACTTAAGAATTCAAATTAGAATTTTAATTGGCATTGATGAACCTGATAACGAAACTCTAACATCCGTTGAATGGCTATTTTACACACAAAGTCATTTATTGTGGAATTTTGAAATAGAGTTAAAGTCAGAATTATTAGCCCCCCTTTAATTTTTTTTTCTTTTTTAAATAATGCCCGAATAAAGTTTAACAGAGCAAGGAAATTTTCACAGTATGTCTGATAAAGAAGAAAGTCTTATTTGTTTTATTTAGGCTAGAGTAAAAACAGTTTTAAATTTTTTAATTAACAATTTTAAGATCAAAATTATTAGCCCCTTTAAGCTATATTTTTTTTCAATAGCCTACCTAACAAAACATTGTTATACAATAACTTGCCTAATTACTCTAACCTGCCTAGTTAACCTAATTAACCTAGTTAAGCCTTTAAATGGCACTTTAAGCTGCATAGAAGTTTCTTGAAAAATATCTAGTCAAATATAATTTACTGTCATCATGACAAAGATAAAATACATCAGTTAATAGAAATGAGTTGTTAAAACTATTATGTTTAGAAATGTGTTGAAAAAATCTCTGTTATTCAGAAATTGGCGAAAAATAAACAATAAACAGGGGGCTAATAAATCAGGGGGGGGGGGGGGGCTAATAATTCTGACTTCAACTGTATAATTAAAATTCTCTTTTAGTTTTAAACACCATATCTGGAAGGTTCTTCTGAGAACCCAAAATAGTTTTATGAAACTGCTGTAAAAACTTATTTTTACTGCACATAAAGGAATTAAAGGAATTATACATGGCAAAATTAATACATGGTTTATCACAGCATAAATTGTTGTTAAATGCAGGCTGTTGTCTAAAACGAATAACGTTAGTTGATTGCAACTCTGTTTTTGTCTTGCGTGTAAGAGAAAAAGACGATTTGCAGGAAATCCTCACCAAAAGCAAGTTGATGCAGTTGCAGAAAGAAAGGAAAGTGGAAGTTGACAGAACCTCAAGATCTTTTCCACATGAATAAACACAATGGCTTCTTCAAACATGTTCACACCAATGCTTTTTGCTCTGGCTCATTGTTTAGCAGTTATTTTTCTCATTTGCAGCCTTGACTTTTTCATTCCAATGTTATTAGTCTATTATTAACTCGGGATGAAGTATAAATAACAACACGTTGTTTAATAAAAAAGCGTAAAACTCAATTTTACATTTATAACAACAATTGTATATCGTTATGCTTAGAGATGAAATATACCTGCCCAGCTTTGTCCTCCTGAAATCCATACTGTACATATTTGTAGCTACATGTTCGCAACGGAAATGACTCCCAGCAGACAGTCTGAGTTTCTCCCGGCAGTAGCGGAGAGCAAAACTCCGGATGTTTCACCGTGTCCGAAACTTGGAAGGAAGCAAAGCACGTGAAGACTTGCGTTGATCGGTACGGGCACGTGAGCGCAACTGAAAGACAGTGACAGTGGGGTTTTTTAGGAGAAATAAAAGTGTCTCGCGACCACTTTCTCTCGCTCAGTGTCAGGAATGCCGCTGTTTGCTGAATCCCCTCCCCGCCCCTTTGCTTCCAAGTAAACTTCAAAAAGGCTCTCGGCGAATGAACGACATCGTGTTTTTCCATCGTGTAGCGGATATTTGCTTTAGAGGCGCGTAAACAATGACCTCCCTGACCGTTAACTCGTTAACTCTAGATGCTGGATGCACGCTGTTTTGTTTAAAAAACTGTTACAAAATAAAAACAACACATTTATTAAACAGTTTTCAATCTCAGGATGTCGCGTTAAGGGAATTAAAATAGCATTTTGTGCATCTGTAACAATTTGTGTGGCCTATTATAGAACTAGTCACTGGTGGTCAGGCATTAAAAAATCTACCTTTTGTCAAAACATTTCTGAAGTGACCTGTGAGGAGATTTTCTGTTGACGAGTGATTTAATACAGTTGACCAGAATATTCACATCAGCGCACGAAGCCCTCTGCTGGTTAAATAACACACCTGCAATTCATACCTAAGGCCACCTTAGATAGATCCCAAAATTACACACACACACACACACAAACAACAACAACAACAATCCCAGTGACTTGCGACCACATTTCTTAGATGTAGTAAATTTACAAACACACAATAATATGCCTATATAAACACGAGCATTTTGACAACACAAAAAAAGTGCAACAGTCTAACAATCATAAAATTTCATAGTCGTTTATTAATTTGTTTAATTTATTATTATTAACCTCAGCTAAAGAGGTGGGCACAACGTTTTCAGCACAAGTTGGTTTAATTTTGGAGTTCGCCACTTGTGGCCTGTGTTTATTTTGAATGTATTTGATTGCCAAATAGGTGTCAGAAAGTTTAACTGTTTTGTTAATCTAACGTAAACATAATAATCCTATGAAAAAAAATATATTGAAAGGCTTGTGTGTTTTCATTTAAATGTTGTTGCTTTTTTAAGTAACTATTAACTATTTTTTTATCTCCTGTGGGTAATGGGTGAAATATGGTAATTCTAATAGTTTAATAAAATTTATTTGACTTTTGGAAATCACCAAGGTACAACCTCTCATTGTCCCAACCCCGAGTTCAGGAAACACTGCCTTAGATGATTTGTAATAATAATTAAAAAAAAAATAATAATAATAATAATAATAATAATAATAACATAAAACGAATTTTATAATAGGCTGAATCAACCACAAGTAAATTTTTTGGACGTTCTTTAGAAAGAAAACAAAGGAAATTTTACAAAGAAAACAAGTTTGTGTGTGTTTTATGATTTGCAATTGATTGGTTGGACTATTGGCAAAAGAAAAATCTAGGTACTCAAATAAATCAAAGTAGGCCTGCTTAAATTAAATGGCTACAGTGTATAACTCTATATGTTTTAGAGTAAGAAATTTAAATGCTAGTTTGTAAGCAAATCACAGTAGTTCTTGCTGGGGGGTAAAACACAATTCAATGCATTGCAAAATGATTATGATAGAAATGTACAAAAATCATACCTTTTGAATAATATTAGCTGTTTTTTACATTGATGCAAATAATAAAGCATTAAAGATTTAACAGAATGCTTTTAGACAAAATCGGACTGAGGTATTAAGAGATGTTGAAGTGAATACTTTATGTATTTTAATATTATACTTCAATATTAATTTTTAATTCATCTTTATTTCTATAGCGCTTTTTACAGATTGTGTCAAAGTAGCTTAGTATAAGTTCTTGAAAAATGTAAACTGTCAGTCCAGTTTTCAAAGATTAAGTTCAGTTTAGTTTAGTGTAGATATCTGGGACTTAAGGGGTCATGCCTTATTTTTTAATATATATTTTTGAGCACTCTTGAAGTGTAACAGTAAAACGTTTAAACAGTGAAACAGTAATAAGAGTTTACATTTTAAAAAGTTATATGTCCTAGGGGTAACTACCAAAGAGCTTAGAATGACCAATGGTCATTCTAAGCTCTTTGTAACTACTACTGTGCCAGTTTAATAATTATGGCACATTTTGTATTTGTTTATGTAAATAAACCTTGAAGTAATGTCCCAGTGATATACACTTCATACTTGTGTTTTCCACAATTTAACATATAATACAATTTAATTTACAATTTAATCATGTTGTAATATCAAGGTCTTGGTCTTGTCTTAATATTAAACACATTACTTTTGCCATGTTCTTAGCCTAAGTGGAAGTCTTGAATATCACAAAATAAAGGGTGTAAGTCTGATTTAGCTTTCTTTACCTGTTTAAAATGAACAGATTCATTCATTCATTTTCCTTCAGCTTAGTCCCTTTAAAAATCCAGGGTCGCTACAGCGAAATGAACTGCCAACTTATCCAGCATGTGTTTTCACTGATAGCGCATGTCTTTGGACTGTGGGAAAATCGGAAATAGAATAGACATTTTTTTCACCACCTATTGATATTTATTTTTACATCATCATTTTTTAAAATTATTATTATTATTATTATGTAGACCTATTTTTATGCAATTGTTGTGTGATTGACGTCAAAGAGTTCTGTTCTGGTCTTGGTTTCATCCTGCCTTAGTTTAGATTTAGTCTCCACAGTGTGTCTCTGTAGTTTAGTGTCTCCACACTCTCAAGTCTTGCACTTTAAAATGTTGTGTTTTTCTTTTGATTACATAAAAATTGGGCTAAAAGTAGGCTTCTTTGTTATTTAACATCACACTTAAATAAAATACAATTAGGGTTTTTTTGTCAATTCATGTTGGGCTACTTAATTATGCCTTTATAGGATATTTTTTTTTATTTAAAACGTTAAATGTAGGCCAAATCAACTTCCAGTTAGTCAAGTTTATATTGGCTACTTCTTCTCTTCTATACTCATTTTAAAGCAACAGTTCAATTATTTATTTATGTTTGTTTCTTGAACACAAAAGAAGATATTTCGAAGATTATTTAAAATTAGTAGTCAATAATGACTGATGGAGTCAGTCCAAAAACATGTGCTGTAGGTCAATTGGATAAACTATTTGCTGTAGTGTATGTGCGTGAATGAGTGTGTATGGATGTTTCCCAGAGTTGGGTTGCAGCTGGAATGGCAATCGCTGTGTAAAACATATACTGGATAAGTTGGCGGTTCATTCCGCTGTGGCGACCCCTGATGTATAAAGGGACTAAGCCAAAGAAAATTGAATGAATTGAATGATGGGTGTTTTTTACCCCTACTATGGATGTCAATGGCTACTAGTCTCCAACATTGTTCAAAATATCTTCTTTTCTGTTCAACTGAAGAAAAAAACTTATTTGAAAACACTTGAGGGCGAGTCTGTTTTATCAAAATTTAATCTTTGGTGAACTGTCCCTTTAAGTAACTTTTGAGGACTACATAAATGGTGGATTAAAGCAGTGTTTCTCAACCACGTTCCTGGAGGACCACAATCTCTGTGTAACCCCACCAGTCCTACACCACCCAACCCACTCCGAGCTAGTATCGAACTGGCAACCTTCCGCATGGGAGTCAGATGTTCTACCAAGGAGGCTAAAGACCATGGCCTCTGGTATCTGTTGCTAGAGCACCTTTAGAGGTCAGAAGAGTGAGGTTTATCGGCACAGAACGTACTAGCTGGCCTCCGCTACATCTGCACATTTTCCATGTCCAAACACACACTTGATTCAGATCATCAGCTCATTAGCAGAGACTAAAAGACCTGTAATGGGTGTGACAGAGAAAGAAGACACCCAAAAACATGCAGAGTTAGTGGGCCTTCAGGAACGTGGTTGAGAAACACTGGACTAAATGTATATTTTTTTTTTATTTTAGCACACGTAAATAAACCTTTTCCAAGAGTTCTATTCAATGCAATTAAATTATTAAATTAAAAGTACAGGCGTCTCTGTGATGCAGTGGTTTGCATGATCTCCTCACAGCAAAAAGGTTGCTGGTTCGAGCCCCAGCTGGGTCAGTTGGCATTTCGGTGTGGAGTGTGCATGTTCTCCCTGTGTTTGTGTGGGTTTCCTCTGGGTGCTCCTGTTTCCTCCACAGACCAAAGACATGGTGTAGTGTATGTGTGTGAATGCAAGAGTGTATGAGTGTTTCCCAGTGATGGGTTGCAATTAGAAGGTCATCCTCTGCATAACACATATGCTGGCTAAGTTGGTGGTTCATTCCGCTGTGGCAACCCCAAATTGAAAAAAGGGTACTAAGCCGAAAATAAAATTAATGAATTCAAAAGTAAGTCATGTAAACTGCAATTTTATTATGTTCCTTTCAGCAGTCTGTACTGGCGAGTATACAGTTATTAAATCTTTTATAATTTCCCGAAATTCATTACGAGGATCATTGCAGCGCATTTGAGGGTCATATTCTGCACTCGAGAGAGCGGTGGGGCGCCTTTCCCTTTAATTGGAACGGCTCTGCTGCGTGCAGCGGCCAGTGCGCAGGCGCACGAAAAGGTGCAACAGTGGCTGGAGAAAAACAACAACATTCATTGGAACAAGGGTGGAACTTATGGCAGTGCGAGACGACCCCAGATTTCACTGATCTAGCCCTCATCTGAGCCCCTTTTCACTTCGGCTTAATCTGTAAATGGTGTCGAGCCCATGAACCTGGCCAGTCAGAGCGGAGAGGCCGGCTGCAGCCAGCTGCTCTTCGCCAACTTTAATCAGGACAACACGTAAGAAAACATTCACACTCCTGCTGCTGTTGGCCTAACAGACCATCTACACGACAGCAACACACCGCTGTCAGTGCAAACACCGAGTAATCTGCGCCGCAGTCGCGAGAAGCTTCGTTCTGCATAACGGAGAGTTTTAGTTGTG